AGATGGGATAGGGGGAGAATTTGACCGGATAAGGAAAACCAGCACTGCCTAGACGGTGGGCCCCTGTTTTGTTTTGATCAAATTGGAGTCAAAAATGTATTTTATTGCTCAAAAATCACCTTCACAATCAAAAGCAGACTTTTCTCAATTTAAATGAATCCCGATTTGCAATTTTAAACACATTCTTGGGGTAGAAATCACAATTTGGCACAATTGCAGAATACCCCGCCACTCGATCTATCCACCTCGTAGCCGGCTACGAGGTCACGGCTGATTGACCTCAATAAACATTCTCAGCGCTACTTGTATGTCTATGCGTCATGCTCCATTGCACTCCCACTTCGTGACCGCGTAGCCGCCAACAGGGTAGTTGGTTTGGACTTAGAATTTTTTTCAGCAACTCCCATTCATTTTGTGTTGCTTCGTTCTCAAGCATATTCAAGGGCACTCCCACTCCGTAGCCTCGTAGCCGCCAACAGGGTGGTTGGTTTGGACTTAGAATTTTTTCAGCAACTCCCATTCATTTTGTGTTGCTTCGTTCTCAAATAATGGACCCCCACTCAGTATCCGCGTAGCTGGCAATGGACTTGAATTGTTTCTTTTGCAGTGATTCCAACCTCGTAGCCAGTGATTTTAGGGGTGTATTTCCGAGTGGCGGGGTATTCTGCAATTACTCCCACAATTTTCCTGCGCGGTTTGTGCCTTGCGATTTTTATTTTCGGGTCGAGTGTTGTCGTCGCGCTGTCACCGTCATTTTACCCCCGAATTTCCCTCAAAAATTCAAAACCCTGCCCTCTACCTATATGACATACCTGTTTATCAAGAATGTCGCCAACTAGTTTGGTAGGTCCAATAATTTTAAAGTGGGTTTTGTTCCCTTAGGAACCGGGCCCTACACTTCACAATCGCCATCAACCCTGTCCCTAGTCACACCCATCATGCCCATGGTTTGTGAATAGCCTGGCATTGGTCGAATTCTCCCCCGGTCCAATAGAATAGGCTATAGCCTAGGGGCCTACCCTTAGAGCCGCGCCTACTCATGTTACTGCACGCCACCACCGGCGTGAAGTGAGACTGGATGCTGATACCTAGCGGCGAAGTCCAGTCAATATTCTGAGATTCTGAAATGTTTTTTAAAGACCTCAAAAGATTTCCACTTCTAGTTTTTACTCACCAACCAACAACAAACACACTCCAGGCGGTCCTGGTCCTCATTCGCATTCCGCGGCCATCTTAAAATAGCGCCACCGTGTGACTTACTAAAAAAAAAAAAAAAACCAGTCAAGGGGGACAGTCCGTGACGAGGCCAGTTTCGCTCGTCACGCGGTTTGGTTCGCCGAATTTTACAAAACTTCACAGACATGTAGATTATGGTGTACCATATCGAAACAAACTTTGTTCCCCGATCCACAGTTTGTTTGGGAATGAGAAAATCTGGGATAAAAAAAACGCCGAAAATTCTACATGAGAAAAATTAATAAGAAACAGCGCCCCCTATTGACAAAGTCAGAAACCTTTTCTCACGCAATGGCCGTCCGACACCCACTGCGCAATAGTCGTAGCCTTGTTGCCATTTTGTGATTGGTCAATTAACGACGTTGAAGTACATGTACGCAAGTACGTATGGTACCATGTACACGTACGGGCGCCGCATGTACATGTTCATCGTACAAGGCCAGATTCTGCAGGTTTTTTGTGACACATTTCGTTCACATAATGAAACAGAAAGGGGAAAAAGAAAAATCATTTCACAAAACTCTACTGTGTATATATCTCGATATTTAAATGAACATTGCAAGCTATCTGCAATGATTCGTTGGACATTAATTTTGTGCATAAACTTTGGGAATGGAAGAATTACTTCTCTCTTTAAAAAGAAACTTATATTATTCATCTATATATTCATGCTTTCTTTAAAAAAAATATTTTATGAATGTAAATTTATTAATTTGATGTACATATTGTGCGTATTAAATTGACCCCTGCTTTTCTCTTCAATCATTGTTTTAATTTAAAAAAAAAATACCTCCCTAATATCTATAAAGGACTGATAATATAATGCGACCGGAAGAATTACTTAACACTCCAATTGAGTGCGGACGGATCCCAGGTGCGTAAGCAGCATTACTTTTTTGTGACCGCGCTTGCAGCTACTTGCACTGGAGATACGAAGACACCATCAAATGAACGTCGTCCATTGTCCAATCACAAAATGGCAACAAGGCTACGACTATTGCGCAGTCTCCGAGTACTGCGGGCGGTCTGAAGCGAGTAAGTTCTTGCGCTCGAACGGCGGGTACATACGGAAGCTTGAATTGCCTTCCGCGATACCGCGTTACCGTGATAATTTATCACAGAAATCCGGAATTCAAAGATGAATCCTTCCTCGATACTGCATTATTGTGATAATTTATCGCAGAAATCCGGTGTGGCAGGTAATCCTGTCCCCCCTGGTAAATGTGTCCCCCCGGACAGATTTACCGGGTCGTGACCACTGATCTCTATATAAAGACTGGATAGCGGATATGCATACAACATTCACACAGTAGACTTTGCATATTGACCAATTCGCCCCCGGTCTCACGAAGATGGCCGCGTATAATACGAACGTTCTACGCGTAAATACGCGCGCGTTGTATCAACAGTTGACGCGCATTTTGGTCACGTGCACATATTATGATGTTCTAAAAGGAACACATTTCCGTAGTGATTATTATTTCAAAAACGCCGAAAAAGTGTTTTGCGGCATTATAAAAGTAACCACTACGTTAGAAAAATTGTAGTAAACCTTGGTCAGTTGGTCAGTGGTGGTGGCCAAAATATAAGTCAAGTGAGCCGCGACGTTACAAAAGAAATCAAGCTGTCTATAAAGACGGCAACTTGTCCTTTGTAGATCACCAGCCGGTCTCACCAATATGGCGTCAAATTCGTACATTGTGCGGCTCTTTATAGACCGCTTGCAGACGCGTTCGATAATCGACGCGCGAAGGCGCGCGACGCCATGTTGTGGGACAGGCGTATATCAATTCACGCACATTTTGTCCCATAACATGGCGTCGCTCACCTTAGCGCGTCAATTATCGAACGCGTCTGCAAGCGGTCTATTAGCTATCCAGTCTTTATATAGAGATCAGTGGTCGTGACCCGGTAAATCTGTCCGGGGGGACACTTTTACCTAGGTAAACCTCTCCCCCTCTAGGTAAATCTGTCCCCCTGCACGACGTTAAATGTGTCCCCCCTGGTAAATGTGTCCCCGTGCAACGTCACAAGTCTAGCACCCAGACTGTATATTAGTAAAGTTATTAACTGTTTTTGCGCGGCGCCTTGCTAAATTCGGGAATGGTGCTTACGTCAAAGCACAACTCCTGTTTTGATGACGACTTCGGGAGCGAGCGATTTGCATGGTGGGCGTGCGCGCGAGTGTACCGCACCTACGGAGAGCGCTAGCGATAGGTTGAGTATTACTACGCGTGCCTTTTCTGCTTTCTTGCAGAAACATAGATCGGTTGATTAACATCTAAACGTTAATTTCATTATAATCATTGATGAAGGGTGAAAAAAATCTAAAAATGTATACCCTGTGCGCTGAATTCATTATAATAACATCAATATAACAATAATGCGTGCAAAACCAGGGGGGACAGAATTAACTGGAGGGGACAGAATTAACGGGACATGGGGGACACTTTAACCTAGGTAATTCTGTCCCCCCGAACACTTTTACCGGGGGACAGAATTACCGTCCATACCGGAATTCAAAGATACGTATTCCTCGATACAGCGTTACCGTGATAATTTATCACAGAAATCCTGAATTCAAAGATAATTCCTTCCTAAAGGCTCCATATTATACACAGACATGCACCGTACCTATCCGTCGTTGTTTGCAAGAAAAATATACCCGGTGCCGTGCCCAAACTCGGCCAATGAGTTCTTCTTCCTTTTAGATGGCACTTCTTTCATTATTATATTCTAGATTTTTGTTATTTCTCATCGGAATGCAAAAATATCACCGTTACAGTTTTGTCCAACATGAAATGATCACGTTATAAATTTAAGATCGAATTTTAACATTGTTAAGTATTTTAGCTAAATATCGATTTGATAGTTAAACCACAGATCAGAATAATATTTTGTGAATTTATCTCGGGATGATACGGAAGTGTATTTTGGACATGACCCCCCCCCCCCCCCCCAAAGTTCCGGCTCTCTATTTCGCACAGGCGGATTAGTATTTCGCCCGGGCGGATTAGCATTTCGCCCGGGCGGATTAGCATTTCGCCCGGGCGGATTACTATTCCGCCCGGGCGGATTACTAATTCGCCCGGGCGAATTACTATTTCGCCCGGGCGGATTACTATTTCGCCCGGGCGAATTAGTAGTCTGCCCGGGCGAATTAGTAATCCGCCCGGGCGGAATAGTAATCCGCCCAGGCAAAATAGTCATCCGCCCGGGCGAAATAGTCATCCGCCCGGGCGAAATAGTCATCCGCCCGGGCGAAATAGTAATCCGCCCGGTGTCACGGTCTCACTTCTCCGGCGTGCTAGCTTCTCCGAAAGGGAAATTTGGCTTCAACACGCATGCACAAAATTGCGCAGTAGTGTACATTTTCGTCAACTGTATTAGCGTGCTGAGTGCTTCAGGGTTCTACTGGTGCACGTAATATCTTAGGATATTTGTATGCATGGTTACAGGGTACCAGTCCAATCCAGAATTTTCGTGACGTGCACAACTCCCAATAACCAAAAAGACTTGAAATGCACATTTATTTTAGGCCGTGGCTGCAAAAATAAAGACAAAATGGACCACGAACGAGCAAGGAACACGGACCAAGAAGTTCGTTCTTAATTATTCCTCCATGAACACACACACATACATGACGCTGGGAACACAAATCAGAATGCTACGGACCATGGAATGACTTGACCCCACAGGAAGTGTTACATATAATACATTTGTAGCGGGCATGAGAGTCAAATGCTATACGCCGACACAATTAATTTTTACCGGTTATACGCGTATATTTTGCTTGAACCAGTTAGTTTTATTCAATTCCGGCTAAAAAGGGATAAGATTTCAAACGTTGTATATCTAATACAAATATCCTCAATAAAGAATATTTATATTACAAAAGAAAAGAAAACCCAGGGTTCTAATAATTACGAAACAATCAATACAATTAATACAATGGATTTAAAAGGGGAGACTAAAGGGCCTATCTTGATCCGTTGTTGTACACTTGACGGGACTTGCTTGACTTGACGGAACTTGACGGGACTTGCAGAACTTGACGGGACTTGCTTGACTTGATGAAGGGAAACTGGAAGAATTGGAGACTTGACTTGATGACGCTCTCAATACTTTGAACAGTGAGAGCAAGACAACTGGACGAAAAAGGGGTCCAAAAGGATATGTCTATACCCCTTCTCTAGCTGTCAGTTGATGAATGCAAACTGTCCAGTTAAGCACTCGTGTCCTTTGTTCCTAGAGCAGGACATAGGATGAATACATGAAATGGCAGGTTCAGTTTGAGGGTTACGTAAGACAGTTTAAACAGTGAAGCTGGGTGCTTCCAACTACCTGTCTCTGTTAATTGCAGTTCAGTGGTCAAGTGAATATAAATATCAACTTCATAAAATACTAAGTAAATGGAATCTACAAATAAGCAAAAGTGAAAGTCCCTTTAAACAATAGGCTGTGTGTACCGTTGTCATAGTCACCAGTGCTGGTCAATGCCCTCTACCACTGGTGTGCGTACGTAGGTTGGTCTTACCCAGAAGTGAGTAAGGTACCCCAAGGACATTATACCAAGACCAATGCCTCAGGCATGACAAGGTTACACCTGTTGCATCATAACACTTAAAACAATTCAAGGAATACAAATGACTCATAATAAGAAAGTAAAACTTGACCAGGATGAAAAATACCAAGATCCTGAATAATCAAATTAATCTTAAAACAAAAAGGAATATATAAGATTGAAAACTTGGATATAGGAAAAATAAAGAAAAAGGCTAGCTACTGAAACAAACTTAACTAGGATAAAACTTACAAGGCTATACTAGATATATCAAGTAAAATGAATACACTTGTCAAATGATCAAAGAGAACTGTTACAAATTCACAGAATTTGTACTAAGGAAATTAATTATTCCTGTTTTCACTTTAGTCAAAAGTAACTGGGAATGATAATAAGATAGCTGATTGTCTTTTGGAATATGCCAAAAAGTTAACTGAATAATCATTGGATGTCTGTAATAATAAATCATGATTTTTGTACATGTAGTCCTACAAACTCTTCTTTCTTAATTAAAGTTCCACTTTATTTAGACTAGAGTCGCCACAAGTCTTTTGTACAAAAATGGCAAATTTCAGATCAATCAAAGAAAATCGAAGATAACTCAAACAATTTAGGGAATCGATCAATTTGGAATTTGTTCTACTTTCAGAGAACATGGTTACTTCTCAAATCAAGTTATGTGAAAATAAATGCATCAAACATCCAGAAGAAAATAGTGCTTGCTTCAAGAAATGACAGCAACGAAGCAATAAAAATGTCAACTGCAGTAAGAACTTCTCAAGTGGAAAGTGGCCAAAGTTGGAATGTCCAAGAACTTAATATTCATCTATCAAGCGTAACAACACTCAACTCAACATACAGTGATGGCATGAAAGGAACATAATAGTAATAATAACAACATGTGACGACTCGGTCTAAACTTTGAGTAAAGAATAAACACTTTAACCTAGGAGTAAAAGTAAGATAAAAGTATTATCGAACTCACCTAGAGCAGGACAGAGGATGAATACATGAATATGGCAGGTTCAGTTGGAGGGTTACAGAAGACAGTTTAAACAGTGAAGCTGGGTGCTTCCAACTACCTGTCTCTGTTAATTGCAGTTCAGTGGTCAAGTGAAGGGAAAGTTCACTGGCCACCGAATTTATACAGTTCCTCCTCAAGGACTTTTGTGGTTGGTTGCAAGTTCTGCTACCAACCGCCCACACGCGCTGCCAAGCAACCCACACACTTCTAAGAAAGTGAATGACCTAAGTCTGGGGGAGTTAGGAATTTGAAAAAAATGGGGGGCACAAAATTCATCCTATTACACATTCTTGGGTATCCCTCACTGTGTTGTTAATGGGCTTGGTAGACTTCAGAATACAGCTCCAGAAAAAGTAAGCACAGCGGACACATGGGCATGAATCGTGCTTATGTCACGTGCACTGTAACGTGCTCAGTTATCCGCCGAATCCACCCGGAGAAGCTAGCACGCCGAAGAAGTGAGACCGTGACACCGGGCGAAATAGTGGGCCAGAAATTCTTCGGTCATGTCCTACTCTTCCGTACGAATGTCATGTGATGTCAGTTCTACCAATCAAATGACAAGGATCTGTGTGTCGGTTATATAACATCTAGCGCGTATTGTTCCAAAGAGAGCGCTCCAATAGGTGGGTTCAAACATTTCGTGAAGTGGTGGTTTGGAAGGGAGAAATACAGTTCCCACCAATTTTGTATTGAAATTGAATTTAATTTTAATTGTGTTCCGATTTTAATAATGAAAAATATTAAAACCAAGCAGAATCTGTGGGTAACGTTTTATAAAATAAATAATGAATGCTTAATAGACTCTATTTTCCCTCGGATTCGTCTCGGGAAAGAATGTCCATGCACCTCGGGAGGCTAGTTTTACTAAACCAAAGCAAAGATCATAGCGCCCTAGCGTGCGCGCACTTCGCCGAATAAAAAAAAACCGAACTACTATGAAACGGACATTTCCAACGACGCACCGCCGTTGGAAAGGCCATCTTTCGTTGATCTTTTCAAAATGACAGCATGCAAGAAAGAATTATTTTACAGGAAGTTTAATCCCCGTACCTTACTATCTTCCAACGAAGTAGGCCTATAGTCGTGTTCCCTAGCGTGGCGCACTTCGAAGCTTACCCGACTTTCCTCGTGTAGTGTTGCCAAACCTCTTTGTTGACAAACCTCAAAGTCATGCAATGAAATACTAGTACTTTGACCTTATCAATGCTTGCTATTTTACCTCTGTGAACAATTTCAGTTTCATAAAATTTAATCCGAAATTCAAAAACGGTGGTGTCCGGAAATTGGGCACAAATCGGCGGAGTGTTCCCTAACGTGGCGCACTTGAATAAATCTTGGAAAATTCCAAATTAACACTTACGAATTCCTGTAAACTTAATAAATTCTGATAAATAATTAATATCTTTACTTACATACCCAGCCAAAAGTTTGTCAGAAAATTATTTTCTTATTTTTCAGGGCATTTTCAAAGGGTTCACTTTGCATTTGAAAATAAAATCGAAAAATCACGCCAAAATAGCTTTTCCTTCTAATTTTGTTACGGGTAAATAAACTCGCGATTTATGAACAGGACCGTTTAGAACTTGATGAAATTTCACTTTCTGTGAAATTTCAGTTTAAAATTTTGCTCTAGGTGGGCGCTACAGGCGAAAAATCAAAGTGCGCCACGTTAGAGGCCGCGCCACGTTAGGGGTACATCAACAATATATCTTTCTCAACAATAATTACGTCAGTTACTTTTTGGACTGTAGCCAGCTTTCAATGCCTTTCTGGCGTTCCATATGTAACCAGGTCGGATTGCAGTACTTACTTTTCCCCGACTGGTTCCTTACTCCAGCATTATTTCATAACTTTTGTAATTGCGTGTTTGTGTCGATTCACATGTGAGCAGCCATTGCAATCATGCTTTTTGCCTAGGGCCCTCTCGCGGCCAACTAAACTTTTTTTTACAGCGCGCGCCGCCTAGAATTTTGCTCAACTATGCGATGGGCGTAGCGAGCATGCGAGTTTTGCATTCCACCGCGCTTTGTTTAAGAGGAATAGTTGACATTCCGGGCGTTTCGGTATATTTTTCTTGTAGGGCTAGGTCCAAAATATTGTTGATTCCGTTCCAACTCTGCTTTGGGTTGACATCTATCTGCCTGGTTCTGCTCCTGCTTTGCGACCAGCATTTACAGCGAGCATTGCACACTCCACTTTTTCTGCAAGTTTGGGTGCGGCTCCCCGATAGCAGCAATATAATTTTATATCCGGCGTTGCCGGCATTGCATTTTACAATATTTTTGCTGCTTCTACATCGATTTTAACATCGGACACGGATTAGGCATGAGCGTAGACCATCCCAAGTGGTGAGTAAATCCCTTGTCTGATATTTAACTCTTTTATGACTGAAGCTGTTTATGCCTGAATCTTGTTATGCAACAGTCATTTTGATGCAACATTCTGTTCACTGACTGATGTACTTATAAAAAAGTTTTCTTTGATTTACAAATAAGGAAACCAGTTTTTCCCAAATTTCTTTGAATTAAATATCGTTAATACTGTATTTGGATCTGGAAGTTATTCCCATAATTCATTAGTCATTTATTGTTTGTATGCATTTCAGATACCATCCTTGGAGTGACAGTTCACCACCCTATTGTCCCTTTTTGACTGTCGTTTTTATAGACCCAACAAAGTTCTGTTTTTATATACTCACCAAAGTTCCTAATATAATCCTTTTTGTATATACTGTACTTGATCATTTGTATATAAAATTATTGTCTCAAATTTGTATTATAAATAAAACATTTCATATTATTGAGACTACAGAAAACATTCGCTCTACCCAAATCATTTTTTTTTAGTGAAACCCCTCGGTTAAAAGGAGAGTGCCACATTTTTAACTAATAAATTCCGCTCTCCCCGGTTACACATACATGTATGTGTCATCACGTGCATACTATGCGCGCGCTATGATATGCAGATCAAGTCTACGTCTAGAGCTAGTATACAAATATTGAATGCTTCGAGTGGTGTAGTAAAACTAGCCTCCCGAGGTGATCCATGGACCATTCTATTTTCCCGAGGCGAAGCCGAGGGAAAATAGAATGGTCCATGGATCACCGAGGGAGGCTAGTTTTACTTCACCACTCGAAGCATTCAATATTTGTATACTAGCTCTAGACGTAGACTTGATCTGCATATCATAGCGCGAGCATTCAATATTTGTTTTATAACACTTCACCCACAGATTCTGCTTGATTTTAATATTTTAAATTATTTAAATCTGAACACAGCTGAAATAAACTTCAATTTCAATACAAAATTGGTGGAAAATGTATTTCTCTCTTAAAAACTACCCCTTTACGAAATGTTTGAACCCAAGTCTGCGGCGCGCTCTCTTTGGAATAATACGCGCTACGCGCAACGCGCACACCAGCATGCATTTGCACACAAATATAACATGGTTTATTTCGGGTGGACAGTCGATATTCGCTCCCCGAGGTATTGGAAGTTGACAAACTAGTTCCCGAATTTTGTTTTATTATTATGCACCTAAAACAAAATTTGGGGAAACTTGTACAGCTCACCAAAAGATTCAACTTCAATGGACCGTTCCGGCTTTGGCTATAAGCCCCGCCCACCTTAGCAACGGCATGGCAACGCCATTAGCTCGGTCAAGTTCAGGTCAAAGTTAAGTAAACATACACACGATACGCATGTACGTCCGTACACACATCAACAATGACGACGACGAGAGTGGATATTTTGCCAAAGGCGGTAGATTTAAATTCTTTTGGAAAGGAACAAATTAGTAAACGGAGTAGAGTGAGGGGCTACAATTTCTTTAAGAATGGATATGTCCATAAAATTGCGCTGGAGCTATTGAAGGAGGGTGAGGTGGCAGTTCAAGGGAAATGCTTCAGAAGCATGCGGAAAAGCGATACACCGCATTCCTTGAACGTGTGCTTTGGACGAGATCAGGGTCTCATAGCAGAAAGTAGATGCAGCTGTGTAGCTGGGTACGTAATAAAATATGTTAAGTGGATCATGTTCATCAGTGTTCTTTTTTTTTTTACTTATGTGTAACGTTGGTCTATTTCTTTTGTTTCAGTGTAAGCTCTTATTTATGCCAATAGGCCTAATTGTTCAAGTCTTAAAAATGATCTTTTCATATATGGCATAGGCCTATTACAAGCCAAAAATAATCAGAAGGGTCTTCTATCATTCTATGTCTCATAAATATTTTTGTGTGAGTAGCAATGTAACACAAAGATAGGCAGGATTTTTGTTGCCACTTTCAGATTGTTTAAGGTTCATGGGAATTTTTACTACAAGTTGATATCACACTTTAGAGTTAAAAGAGTTTCAAAATATTGTACACACTGCACAGGCTTTTAGTTGTCTAAAAGCAATAGTGATTCTACTGCAAATGCTGTCTATTGGTAGTATTCATCTCGAGGCCAGCAAAATATTGAGGCCTAAAATGTCTGAGACTGAGACCAGCAAAATCTGAGAAAGACCAGTCTCGAGACCAACATGTACAACACTATTGTTTATGGACTTCGAACAGAGTGAAGGATTTAATTTAAAAAGTGCTTAGTAATTGTCATGGAGACACTCAGATCCACTGTACAAAACAGACACAAGAGCCAAATTTAACTGTTCTGATATATATTATTTATATTTCCTTTTCATATCTTAGTTTGGATTAATAATAATAATAAGTTTGTACAATCAATATAATCTATATTAATCAACATAAATACCAAGCTGTCCCTTCTCGTTTTGGATTGGGAATTAAATTTTTGCATGTAATATCATATTGCAAAAAAAAAAAAATAGAGTTGTCTCATACATTTATTGAGACGACATAAACTGCAAAAAAAAAATTCTTTAAATTTATGACAATAAATACAAATCTGTACCTTCTCGCTTTTGATAATTACTTTAATATAAATAAATATTGCTCCCAAAATAGAGGGTTTGTTCTCATACAGTTACATTGTAAACTGCCATTGTAAAGTGCCAAAAGAAACGAAATTCTGTAAATTTACAGCAAAGTTTTCAAAGGTGTTTCCCTATCTTGGCTACAAATTGTGGTTTGATTTCAGTTTTCCTCAGATGTAAAAGACAGTTTAACTGTTTTTACATTCTTAAAACAAACTTAATTCACACTGACTGCAATAATGTTAAAAAGCACTTCTCTTTAATTTATAGGGAAAAGTTCAGAATATTTAAAGATTGACATTTCAAATTTCTATTTTACTATGAAAGACAATAATTTGCATTTCTAATATACCGGTACATTTTTTTTCTATGAATTCTATTATTTGACAGGTTGTCAGGTACTTGTGCCCACATCATAGCACTGATTTACACCCTGAGGCACTACCAGGACCTGGGGCTGAAGGAAATTCCGGGGCAATTGTCATGTACAAGCCTGCCACAGCAATGGCACAAACCCTGTGGGTGTAAAATTCGACCCCAATCTGTGGCAGGCTTGGTCATGGCAAAGCCAAAGAAAACAAGAAAGAGGCAGCCTGTTGCAGCAAAAGTGACTAAGCAAAGGTAGTGTACTAATGAACGTTTGTGTGAACCTACTTAAAAGGCAATATTTGAAAAAAAGGTGTCTAAATCAAAGTTAAAAAATCAAGTATCCAACTCGTTTAATTAAACTAATGCTGGTTCCAACTTGTTTAATTAAAATAATGCTGGTTCAGTTTAAAAACAGTGTCAAGGACACTACAAACAGTTTATCCAACTAAGCAATTCCAACAGCCCAGACATTTTCTTTTGGCAATCTATTCGTCCAACAGCATTTTCAGATTGAAAATTCAATACAAATGTAAATTGTATCATAATTTAGCTGGTTTAATTTTTTCCCTTTTCTACAGCCCTGGATCCAAACTTCCTGGAGCATTGCACATAATATATCTTAAAACTGTTTTTGTTTTCTTCAGGTTAATTTTGCGATGACTTGAATTGATCGAACATTTTTATTATCTCTTTCCCCCCACTTTTTCCAGTGTGTTGCTGCCTACTTGTGGTGAAATCAAGCAACTGAAGGCCCTAGCAAACACACCACTAAACTACCTCCTTCACGAGGATGCTGAACTGTCTGATACGCCCCTAGGACAAGTTCAGAGGAGATCAAGTCTGAATTATCAGGTATTCTTTTGAAAAACAACGTAAGGGTCACATGACCTTGAAATTGCAGCTGACACACTTTCAGACCAGTATAATGCAACGTGCAAAAAAATGGAATCATAGCTTACTGTACTGTTGAGATATGGTGGCAACAAAATTGCCTCATTAAATATTCATGACGTCACAACAAGAGAATTATGACATTTATCGTCACTGTACCTTACAAATAAATATAACTTTAGAATGTATAACTACATATGCAGCATTTCAGGCCAAACAACTAGACAGATCTCAAGATATAGGTCTAGGCCTATATATTTCAAGTCACTATTACATAACATATGATATCATGATGACGTCATGATATCATGATTTTTCATCTATGACACTTCCCTGTCTCTACAACTACAAAGTTTGAGACCAATTAGTCTAACAGTTTTATAGTTATAGGACTGTAAAAAACGGACATTTAAATGGATGTCACACGACTTCAGATAATGGTTAATAGTGTAATTATAAAATTGATCGGATAGAAAAAAGTTGCCAAAGTGGATTGTACAAAAAACGTGTGTTAAACCTATGGGGAAAAAGTGGAAGAAGAAAAGAAGGGGGGGGGGGGATTCTTAACGAAAACAATAGCTGTTCCCAATTGAAATTGGAAACAGCTAATTAGGCAACATACAACATTTGCAAACAAAATTGCTCTTTTTCAACTGAAGTTGGGTCAGAGAACCAGACTTCGCTGTAAATTATTAATATGAAATACTAGCCCCCAAATCAATCCTTTTCCGAATAGTAATATACAGCTAAAGCAAATGTTGCATATTCCCTTTAACAAGTGATTAAGCAGTTATATTTAATGGAGATAGTTGAATAAATTGATGCCAACCTTGGACACATGTAAATTACTCTTCCTTCACTAAAACATCCTGAAAGGTTGTCAAATAGCAGCACACCAACCATATCTCATTAATATTCCCAAATATACTTACTGGAATTGTCCTGGCAACTAACTTGAAACTCTTGATTCTTTGGATTGCTCTCTCAATATGTACCCGGTGACTGGCAATTTTTCTGGTAAGCATGACATCGGTTGGTTTCATTTGTGAAGACATGGAAGCTAATGGAGGCATGTTCAATTCCAGACCAATTTTTCTTACCTCCTCATCAATTCGAAAACCTTTATCGACCATGACTCCATCACCGACCTGGACTTTCCCATCTTTAATCAAATCTTGAAGGAGTTGGAAAACATGACCTTTCTGGAATAATTCATTATAAGATATAGACCCAGTGAAAAGACTAGTTGTAAACATGAAAGAGCCAGAGGGATCTGTGACAACCAAAGCTTTCAGGGTAGGGCTAGATTTGTACTCGGAGTAACACTGTGACTGAGTTTTGAGAGAAGTCGGCCTTTCACATTTAAGCTCTGTGCAATCCATGATGACAAGTGTTGTGGGAAATTCTTCTCTAAACCTCTTGGGCATGCGCTCAATCAGGACATCTCTGTGTGGCCACAATGACAGACAGCCCAGCCTTAAGTACATATACCTGATCCAAGTATTAAAAATAATGCTAGCAATCTGAATACTAACATGGAACCTGAAAGCAAGATCCTTCAAATGGAATCCATTCCGCAATCTACACAAAACTAAGAACAGCTGGTCTTTCAAAGGCAATTTCATGCATGCTGATTTTCTTTCTTTGTACTCTAGGGGATTCCTTTTGACATCAGGAATGAGGAACTCAAACAACACAGTGAAAGTTGTGTGTTGGAACCCTGTGTAGTATTTAAGAAGATCCTTAACATTAGATTTCAAAACAGTCTCAACACTGAAAGGTTCACAGTTGAAACACTTGCCTGATGGCTTACTTGATGATGGCCTGTTCACGGTTTTCTCCCCCTCATGCAGCTCCAACACCTTGGCAGCAAGATCCTTCTTCAAAACTGCATTTTCTCTTTCCAAGTCACGAATTGTTGAAGCTGCTGACAGTAGTTCAAGACCAGATTGTACTGCAAATAAAGAAAGAAAAACACAAATTTTTATTTTTATTTTTTTATTTATTTTTTTTACAGATAAATGACTTGGCGGAAACATCAAGCACAGTAACAACGCCAACTGAGGCACTCTGTGGAAACACAAGGTTCCCCCTTCAAACCACACTTATCCTCAACTCCGATTATGCTGATAATAATACTGCTACAGCTATAACCCAAGAGGAAGCAGAGGCACTGGAACAAGCAACTTTTCAACAGGCAAACTGCAACCTATGGTATAAATGCAGAGAACAGAGACTAACTGCTTCCCAGTTTGGTCGGGTAATCACAAGAAAAAAGGATGTGAACACTAAGTTTTTAACTAGCTTGTGCTCTCCACAGGTCATACACAGTGAAGCAGTATCATACGGCAAAAAACATGAGAGTACTGCAAAGGAGGCGTATGTGAACAAGACCAACCTTCACATACATGATTGTGGCCTTGTAGTAAACCCAGCCTTTAGTTTCCTGGGCGCTACACCTGATGGTAAGGTGTGCGATGCGGGTCAAACAGGAATTCTGGAGGTAAAATGCCCATACAGTGCAAGAGACATGACTGTTGCAGAGGCAGTAGATGGAATCCCCAACTTCTACATGGCAAAGTTTGGCAATGGCTTGCAACTAAAGAAGACCCATCAGTACTTTCATCAAGTTCAGGGTCAACTGATGTTGACTGGAGCCCCATTCTGTGACTTTGTTGTTTTTACAAGCAAAGACATCCATGTTGAAAGAATAGTGCCAGATACAGCAGTGTGGGAAGCCATGCTCAGTAAACTGGGTTTATTCTACAAGGAGCATGTAACACCATTTCTAGCTAATACTTGAAAATGAGAGAAACTTACACATGTCATGTTTAACTTCGGCAGGCTTTTTGTCAGGTACACTCGATAATTCCTTTTGATTCCTTTCATCAGATGACTGCCCACTGTAAAAAAAACACCATAAAACAATAATAGAAATAACACGTCCTTAAAAGTTGAATTTAGCAGTGCGAAAATCGAAGCATTTACTTAGAAAACGCTAAGAATTGTTTAGAGCAGTCTCATAGGTTTTGTGCACAGGGTGTCAAGTGTTGTCTGTGTATGGAACTCTTTCCATCAGAATATTTCAATGTTGAAGAAGATTACAGACCAAATTTTGAGAAGTTTTTGAGCATGTGTGCATTAAATGAAGACATGTGCATGCTGACTGCTCACTGCGCTGCCATTTGATTGGATGCAACATAGATTTATTAAGATGTCATGAAATGTAATTTAATGATGAATTTTTTCCATTAAAACCCTCCTTCTATTTAGGCAGTCATAGTCAGTCAAAATTTCCTTCCACTTCCCCTGCGATGCCTTTACACAGGCAAGTCATAAACAGTCAGATTATTCCAAGCAGGCACTCTGACTGATCAAATCCAGTCAACAGACAAAAGCAGGAAGGTGGTGGCACATCTGTATCAAGCAGTCACAGCCAGTCAACCTTGCTTATGGAGGCTGGAAGTTCTTAACTTCCATAAGTTCTTAACTTCCATCAGTCACTTGACTGATAATGATATTGACTGCACAAACAATGGGGCACAGGATGTGTGTTTGCATAGGAGGGTTAATTGCATGAGAATTCGTTCTTCCCAGTAATTTGTTTAAAATATTTTAAACTGTGCCACACAGCCTTCAGAAGATGTTCATAATGGAAATGGCAGCTTTGCACAATTGCCACATTAACCTACCTGTTTTCTAGGTTAAGAATACGTTTGAGTGGAGGCCTCCTGGCTTTAAAGATGGCACTCCCATCTGCCGGTATGGGGTCAGGATAGATTGAGCTTGGTTCTTTGAAATGCTGTGGAAAGATGTGGTACCGGTACTAACGTTTATAATTTGGTTTTGGTTTTATTTAAAACCCTGAACCTGTAAAAGTCTAAAGCTCATTGTAAATTTGAACTGGGCCAGCTCATTGGGTATTTTAAAATGAAAATAACAGAAAGAGTTCCATACTCGGACAACACTTAACAACAGTGTTTTCTAAGTACCAAGTACCGGTGAATCAATGCTTTAAGTTTTTCACAGCTAAATTTGACTTTTTAGGACATGTCATTGCTTTTCATGGCTGATAGGTCACTATAGGGAAAAATGAGCGTTGTCCGTGTATGGAACTCTTTCCTTTTTTATTTATATTCCAACAATAACTCAATAATGTCAACTCATTGTTTATATTATAGAATCTCAATGCTGTAGACCACATACAGGGTTTTTGCAATATTGCCAAGCTTGGTAATTTTAAAGATTTATTAAATTTATAATTTATAAAATGAAATTTGTTATTATGAGTTGCTTTTATTGTGGTACTTATTATCTAGACCCACTCCACTCTAAATTCTATGCTTAGTGCTAGAACTACTTTTTTCCGAATTTTAGGTTTGGTCTAAAAAGTGTGTGTTCTGTGACTGTCAAAAGTGTCATCATGTCTGTCGCTATGACACAGACCAAAACTAAAATTCGAAGACCTAGCGACCCAGACTAGTTCTAGTTGGACTATCCTGCATTGTAATTTCTTAACACCCCGGCCCCCTGAAAAGAAATTTGCTGAGAGTACTGACTGACATGACTGACTGATGACCAAACTCCTACCTTGGAACATACGTATTTGTCCTTGTTGATTTTGTACACATTCAGATCTGAATGGGGACGTCCACAGGCTTTAATCCATCGTAAACATTTTTCACGGTTTGATTTTGGTTTGGGGAAAAGGGAAAAAGATTACTTTATGAAGTGGATCCGGATGCCTGGTGTCTGACTTACATGTACAGTAGCAACATATTTTGACCATGTTTTTAAATGCACAGAAAGCCCCATTTTACGTTGAAAAACGATGCCGCGCACCGTCGACCCCTAGTTGGTTTGTGTACGTTTTTACCTAAGATCCTAGAGCGCGCGTAGCGCGGTATAGAGTAGCCTTTCGCCCAGGCCATCGTTGCTTAGAGCGGCGGAGTTGCGAAGACCCGAAGCGACTTGAGCAAAGATTAAGTCAGCATGCACGAGTGGCAACGTCACGAGGCCTTTTGCAACTTGATTTTGTTGAATTATTCATATTTTTATGCTAATAAGAAGCGTGCTGAAGGTTAACCAATCACAACGCGGATTTTGCCTAGTCGCTTCCATTTTTAAAGAAGGGTGAGTAAGGAAAACGTAAGAGCAAATTACTGTAAGTTCAGATGAAAAATAAGTTCATACCCTCAAATAATTTCTTGAAATACCTTTATAAGTAAAGTTAAAATAAAACAATGCAAGAACAATTACGCGGTCATGATCTCGTGGAAAACTAGATTCGTATTTTTTGTTTTTAAATTTTGTGCAAGCATCCGGGCGCGTCGACGCGCGCGTCCGGGTAGTAGCCACGCACGCACGAAAAGGCTGGTGATTGGTTGGAATTTTGCTACCCTTTTTCGCGTTTTCGCTGCTTTGAATGTGGGCAAGTTAAGCACGATGGCCTTGGTGAAAGGCTAGGTATAGAGCCGCTACGCGGCGCTATAGACCGCTTGCAGACGCGTTCGATAATTGACGCGCTAAGGTGAGCGACGCCATGTTATGGGACAAAATGTGCGTGAATTGATATACGCCTGTCCCACAACATGGCGTCGCGCGCCTTCGCGCGTCGATTATCGAACGCGTCTGCAAGCGGTCTATACCATCTTTGGCTTTTACACTGCATGTGACCGAGTTTGACCGAGGTCATGGTGGATAACGACAGTTAGCAACGGTTGTCAAGTTTCCGTGGTCACCTGACCAAAAGGCGTTATCTAATTGGCTAACGCGCACTGTTTGATTGACAGGCCGGAACGGTCCATTACTAGTTCGGTTCGTTTGCAATATAATACAGTTAAATACAGTTGTTTGCAATGTGTACAACTTTCTTCGCCTCGAGAAAATAGAATGGTCCATGGATCACCTCGGGAGGCTAGTTTTACTACACCACTCGAATCATTCAATATTTGTATACTATACTACATGGGGAATGGGAAATACTATTCAACAGTTAGGATCATGACGCTGTATTTGTGTGCAAATGCATGCTGGTGAGCGCGTTCAGCGTTGCGCGTAGCGCGTATTGTTCCAAAGAGCCAGCGCACGTATGTTTCAGCCCCATAGACCGTGCGTGCATTTAGTTCGTCTTCTCACGCATGCGCAATGGTTTCCTCCGCTTCGTCGGCTTGCAAAGAGCGGTAGCAGACGACGCACTGAACGATTGTCTGGTTTTCATGTCTTAAAATGTATCCTTCTCAAACGTACTTAAAAGATGATTCAAACCAAAAATTATCAGTAGACCAAGTGAACAAAGATATAAATTGTCTCTACAGTGTGGTAACGGCGCTAAAAACCTTTTAAAATATAAAAAAAACAATAATTATGGACAAAAAACGTACAAAATGAAAAGGAAAAAAATCTTTCGCTTTTGACTTTGGTTTACACATTTTGACAATTTTCCGGGTTTACCTTAGATCAGCCGTAGTACCATCGGCAAGGATGATAGATTATTATCATTTTACAGGTGATTTGATGTAAGAAGGAAACCTGTAGCTTATAAAAATCGTCATTTTTCGAGTAAACCCATTTTGAAAGCTTCGTGCACAAATACACTGGTCCCAGTGCCCTCTGTGATCGTACTTGCATTTCAGGGGCGGGAACCAGTCAGTTGTAAATCGTTTCAGTTAAATGTATATATTTATTTGCCAACGCGTCGAAAGATTACAAACGGAGCGCCGCGCGCGGCGCGTGGCTAGCCGTTTACGGGCCAGATTCCCGCTGGGTCTGTGTACAGCTACGTGCACACTAACGTTACATTCAACGTAAAAACGTATAACGTGAGACCTTACTTTTCTCATTGAAACGGTTTCCGACTTAAATGATATTTAAACATCGCACTTTCCATGGCATCTTTTACCATTTTTCAGTGAAGACAAGTTTACAATTACTCGGCAAAACTGAAAAATTATCCCCTAAACTGTCGCCTGTTTTGAATTCGTGACCCAATATTTTCGTACTACACGACACGGAAAAACAAAAAAAATGCATCAAATACTCTCTGTTTTTTTGCGCTAAGGTTTGCAAAAGTGACTTTGATTGCCTTAAATTCCTGTCCACGTGGAAAGAAAAATTTATCAAAGTTCTTCAAGCGTGATGTTGACCGATACTTCAGTTGGTCAAACTGCGACCGCAGGCATCCATGTTTGCTGATTATCAGTATTTCATATTTTGAGTGCGCATGCACGCAAACTAAATGAGCGGCTGAAACATACGTGAGCGCTACAGCGTTGGGTTCAAACATTTTCGTGAAGGGGTGGTTTGGAAGAGAGAAATACATTTTCCTCCAGTTTTGTATTGAAAAAAAAACCGTTCAAATATTTCAAATGACAAGGATCTATATGTCAGTTATATAAAACAAATATTGAGTGGCTTTAAATTGTGAAATGAGAGGAATATTATCGCTCGGTAAAATCTGGACTTTTCCAGTTCACTCGGCTTCGCCTCGTGAAATGAAAAAGTCCAGATTTTACCTTGCGATAATATTCCTCCCATTCCACGCGCACGCTGAGCCACTCAATATTTGTATACTAGAGCTAGCTAGCTGCGCTGCAGTACTACGAGAACAGTCCAGCTAGGCACCGGCAGTGGATGGAGTTGAGACGAATGAAGTGTTGTAATTGTATACATGATATAACAGTGCGGCACCATGTTTTTCTCACACGATATTCTTCAAAGGCGTGGCGGCAAATTTGGGATAGTTTGGTAAGTATCTTTCATAGCCATAATATTAGTACTAGTAGTAAAGACACTCTCGCTTAAGACATACGTAAGAAGACGTGGTGGCAAAGTTGGGATAGGCTTAGCCTAGCCCCACTAGCATGACTAGTGTGGCCGCGGTATGCTGCCCTGTAGCCCCACTAGTGTGGCCGCGGTATGCTGCGCTGAACCTCTCCTACATTTTCTATGTGTCCTTCTCTATTGATCCAGGGGTTCAGGAATTCCATATGTGATGCTGACCGACATTAATCAGGAAAATAAACTCTAAAGCAAAGTTAAACTTGTACGTGTTTGTAGTCTCTTTTCATCAGTTTTATTCCCGAGTCATACGTCATGTACGTGGGCACGAAAGCACACTAGCGCCCTCATTTGTTTAGTTTTGGTTGGAACAGTGACGTCACTCCAGCCAACAGACGTCACGAAAACGCTCAACCAATGACCAAAGCCGAAACATGTTTCTGGTAACTGGCGCGAAAACACGCTCGGTCATTGGATTAGCGACCGCGCCTTCAAGTAAGTGCGCGCGCGTATGAGTGTGGTTACTAAGCAAATCGCGCGTGAGCACTGTATATTCACGCTGCATAGTCTGGCTCCCAGACCAGACGTGATATGAGCGCCGAGAATAATTGTCAGGTCTAAGGAACCAGACTACATGCTGCACGGATGTACGTCATGATGAAAAGAGTCTACAAACACGTACAAGTTTAACGTTGCTTTAGAGTTTATTTTCCTGATTAAGGTCGGTCAGCATCGCATATGGAATTCCTGAACCCAGCTGCCCAATAGATAAGGACACATAGAATACTACGACGTAAAAATTGGCTTCTCCACCAAGGTAAAAATATTGAAAATATTTGTCATAAATTTGTTCGCCCGGTTTGAGCACTTCATACCCTGGACTCCCTCCGTAACGTAGGGAGGAAAGGGAGTCCACCTGGGCTAGGATAGGCTAGACCCGTGAACGTGGCTTGTTAACTACAACGTCACGTTCACGGGTCTAGGATAGGCCTACTGTGATTTGCAGACTTTGGCAAAACCAGAGCTAGGCCTACCGGTATCCCACGAGTCACCATATTAATCTGCGCAGGTAACGCTTGCAACACACGCGCGTTGTCCAACGCAAATTGAATGTGAGTGCGTCGAAATAGATCCTCGTCTTTTTAGGTGGACTGAGAGATGGATACATAAAAAAAATATGGGCTAGGCCTAGCCCAGGTTGGACTCCAGGGTATGAATCTCTCCTGCCATAGCGAAAAAGATTACAGGGTAGACGTCCCGAGTTTCGGCTGCATAAGAGTTGATTATTATTTTGCGACATATGCAGTATTGATTTACCCGGTACTCCCGTCAACACACAGCACATGGGCATAGGCCTAGCGCATGTTGTGATACCAAAACTTAATCAATCCCGAACCTGCTTCAGTAATGTCACGTGACTTTGTAAGACGTTCATGTTGTCCGGAAATTCGGCACCCTGTGAGTAAGTTTGGCAGTGCGTGCAGTCACATGCTTCTGCCATGGGCAGCACCATGTTTCAATGCGTGGGGAAAA